TTGATACAGATTGTGTAGAGACAACCCATTTAAAGCAGAAAAGCACAGGCAACCATTATTTCTTTCAAATTATAACAAAATGTATCACTTGAGCTATGGGGTTGGGGAGGAGATTGGTTTGTGCATTTTCCACCATCACAAAAACTACAGTTTTGTAATGCCTGTATACCTCTATTTTGCTGTAGCTATCTGTACTCAATTTAATAACTATAATTTCTAAAAATCACTTTGAAATAAGAATGATGCATAGACAACTTATGCCTTTCCAGACAGGGAAACACAATCTAAAGCAAGACTGCCCAATTTATCTCCTTCCCAATGATCGTCCATACCCTGCACCCAACCCATGGCTGACACACAATGTCCCCCACTCCCATCCCCCAGCACACATTATCTGCGGTGGGTGGGGATGGGGCTCTGTCTTTCTCTCGCTGCTATTGCTCCCCAGCACATTTGGCTGCTCTCTCTGGTGGCTGGTCCAAGCAGGGAGCAGGATGGACCCACTGCTCATGCAACTGAAGCTGGCTGCTCCAGGTTGCTGCTCTATGCAGTCTGGCAGCTGCCTGAGAGAGAGCCTGCTGGGGAGGTAATGGTGGTCCGGGGGCAGGTGCTGAGGGAGCTGCAAAACCTACCAGGTGGGGAAAAAGGGGACTGCAGATCACTTGTCCCTTGTCCCTGGAAGCAAAGCCTATGCAGGGAGTGGAAACTACCACCTCCCCATCCAGACACTCTCAGGCAACTGCTACGTTGCACAGAGCAGTGACCCTTAGTGGATAGCTGAGAAGTGGCTGATTCTGCTACTTCTGCTTCCTGCCCAGTTCTGGCTGCTATGGGGACAGGGGTCAAATGTATCAGAGGGTGTAGACAGCAGGAGGACGCAGATCCTGTCTTCCCCCGAGAATAGGCCAAGCAGTAAGCGGGGGTGGGGAGAGGTGCACTGGATTTTGTGTTGCCCCCATGCATTGTCTATGGAAATATGTTTATTTCATTTAAATAAGGATAAACTAGCTATTCAGGCCCAATAATGCAATTAAGGGGACATAGATTCTGTTCCTGTCTGTGGCACAGAGTGACCTTCGGGGAAGTAACTACACCACTTTTTGCCTTACTTTCCTATCTGTAAAATGAGAATAAAATTGCCTTTCGCGTACACTTTGCCTGGCTACTTAGACTAAGAGCATTTTGAGGAAGGAAATGTCTGCTACCTGTGTGTTTGTACAGTGTCTCCCACAGTAGGACTCTGATCTCAGCATGGACCTCTGGATGCTATCGTATATACAACTGTGGTTGCATGCTTGATTGCTCCTGTAGACCCAATTTATTGTACACACTTGGGGCCCCTTTTATCCTTCATTTTCCCTTCACAAGCTCCTTGTGTGCCAACTTCCCATCCCCCTCTTTTAGTGATTCCTTGAAACTCTACTCCCTTGAGGACATGAAGAGCCCATGGCATAATTCTCCTGTACCTTCCATATGAGGATTTCCTATTCTTCTATCCATGCCAGTGGCTCTCCGTACCTCTCACTCTCTTCTCTGTCAAATGCCAAGTGCTGCGTGTTCCCCCTTTCTCCCTACCCCCATGGCAGGATCTCTGAAGGTACATCTACACTGTGGGCTAAAGTCGAGTTAAGATACACAACTTCAGCTATGTTAATTGCATAGCTGAAGTCAAAGTACCTCAGCTCAGCTTTTGTTGGTGTTTACACCTCTGGAAGTCGAAGAAAGATCGCTCTTCTTTCAGTTTCCCTTACTCCTCGTGAAATGAATGTTACAGAATTCGGAATAAGAGCCTGTTATTTTTTTCGAATTAACAGGCTTGCTGTGTAGATGCGCACTCTGTTATTTCGAAATAACGCTGCTGTGTAGACATGCCCTGAGTATCTCACCAGTTCCCCTTGTTCTGTATGCTAGAAGCTCTGTGCTTCCCCCTCCTTTTCTTACTGTTCCTGTTTTAGCCCGCCCATGTCTATAGGGCTGCATGCTTCATTTCCTTTGGTATGGGTGTGGCCAATTAAACATTCTTGGAACGCTGGATATTCCATTATTCTGGGAATGTGGGCCAACTTTGGTCACCCTGGACTACCCCTGTTGGTGTAAATGCATGTCTGAAGTCATGTTCCACATAGAAGAGTGTGCCACCCCACCTGAGTCAGCATGACCCTCTCAGTGGGAATGTTGAAAGTGGGTGCAGAGGATAGAACAACACTCTCTTCGAAGTGGTATTCCTTTGTCCCGTATGGGAGAAATCCATGTGAAGTTGTGTTTTAGAACCACATGGGAGGAGAAATCTGATAAAGACTGTCCAGTTAAAAACAGACAGGTGGCTTTTCTATTCAGTAGACAAAGGCCATTGCGTATGTCAGAGGCTCCTTCCATCCCTCTACTACCCGCCTCAGCCCCAAGCTTTCTGAGGGCTGCCTTCCCTTCCTCACCTGTTTTCATGTGTTATTGCTTAAATATTTTATCATTTGTAATTTGGCCTTTGATCTGAGGATGGTCACAGACCTGATTTGTGTGCAAACTGGATGTCAGGGACTCTGTCCTTCAGTTCCCCATTCTGTTTTTCACCCAAATCAATAGGGCCTGCCTCAAATTTTCAGATTGATCAGACGTGGTGTTCCATACTTCTTCCCCAGTTGTTATATTATATCCAGACAAATAAATAAAAGCTACGAGGTTCACTGTGGGGCCTTGCTTCACTATGCTAATAATAATACAAGGAGAATCTTTCGAAGTTTGATTAAATTATGGTAACTTTTTATATATCAAATAGCTACATTTATATTAACATGAATTATAAAATTGCAGATATATTTTTGTGTGCACAGTGTCTAACACAGTGATCCTGATCCCCAGTTACTAGCATAATGGAAATAATGAATAATAATTTTGTTTCTATCAGTTGGAGTCTCATTCTGTTTTTGTTTAACACACCATCATCTCCATATCAGTGAAAGCTCTGTGCGTGGCTTTGCTGCGTTACAATCACTTTGGACTTCACACCATTACATTAGAAATTAAAGAAACAGAAAAATGTTCATTGGGCCTACGTCTACAAAATATTTTCCATGTTCACTCAGTTAATTTTTTGAAAATGTATCCAATTTATACCAGAGAAATCACTGCAGAAGATGTAATTACTAATCTAATGTTGCTATCTTAGCATTATTCTACTCAGTTGTATGGGATGATTGGAAATGTGTTCTCTTTTTTAAAGGTTATTTTATAGTTTAAGAAGTAATTTTTGAGAGAATTACTTTAGGAGGATTTTAAGAGATATTTTACTTAAATCACACACTGTAAGACAAATATTTTAATTTTGAAAGGGAATATGAATCTGTGGCAGAAATTGAGTTTTGAATTCCAATTAACCTAAGGTGGATATAGGCACAAGCAATAAATTCTGTCTTGAAATATTTCAGAATATCCATGCTAAGTGTGTTGATTTAGCTGTATAGTTTGGTTATTCTCCTTAGTTTTTCTTTGTCAGGTTTTAAATAGTTGAGGTAGCCTGCAGGTGAAAAGTGTCCCATTAATCTTTTTGATCCTCTAGCACTTGAGTATAAGAATAGCTGATCAATTACAGCAATTGTCTCCCTAAAGGAGCTTTTCACTTCTACATCTTATTTCATTAGTTAACTGCCTACTCCTAGAACTGATAGAATGGAATACTAGTGGATTCTTACAGCTTGTTCTGTTTTACAGTACAATAAGGATGGGGTTGTTAGCAAAGTGGGCACAAAAGAGTATTTATCCACTACCTGCAATAAATATACATGCTACTGTGTAGGAGTACTTTTGTCTCTAACCACTGTTTGTTGAAACACACTTAAAAACAAATCCGTTAGTTTTTCAACTTTCTGTTTATTAGCTAGTGCTAGAAAATACCTTTTTATGTATTTGATATTTTTATTCAACATCCTAGGAAGCATGTGTTTATAACCCAATCCATTACAATTGATGTATACCCTATTTAATTTTAAAATTTGAAAGTACCATACTTTAAAATAACAAAATAAATGTACTCCAATGCCTGTTGTATTTCAGATGGACTGACCCACTATTTAAAATGTATCTTTTATATGCAAAGATGTGAAACTGATTTTCTCCTAAAGGAAAGCCACAATTCAGAGGCTGCAAATAAATATGAACACATTATATTGTAATAATTATTCAAAGTATAAAGTTCTGTATATATAACTATGCTCATGTTGCTTTAATTTATAAATGATAGATCTAAGAATTACAGATGACCAAATTCATTCATCATTCTAAGTGTTGATTTTATTTACTGACAGTATAACTAAGAGACTGTATTTCTCGTTTTCATCTTTAGCTCATATTTTTGGGGAAACAAAATAATATTTAATTACAGTAAGACATTTTAGTGGAAGCCTGTAGTTGTTAGTATTATTTCAGAAGCACATTGAATAAATGACAGCTATTATGGCGATTTATATTTTCCTTTATTAAACCTTTTATATTTTCAACTATGTAAAGGGGAAGTTTCCAAAAGAAAATTTAACTAGCTACTAAAGAAGAATTTGATTCTTCAAAGACTACAGTATATGACTGAAGTTATTCATATTGATAAGTCTATGTAGGTCAGGCCTCAAAGATTTTTGTGGTATAATCGCAATGTACTTCTATATGAAGTTTTCTTGGGTAAGATTGCCTTCTCCTAGTCATTTAGCTGCATTAACCCTCAAAAGACTTATTTGAAATATAAAATATGACTACATAAAAAAATCTGAGCTGCATATGATAATGATGATTCCAAACAATTCTGTGTTGCTTTCTGTACACTTATATTTTTCTGAAGCAAAAGTTTTTAAAGGTGTTTGAAGTCCAAACATATTTCAGTAAATTTAAATGATTGAAAATACATGTTACATTGGTTTTAAAAAAAACAAATTTAAGTTTATAGAACGTATAAAACCAGAGTTATGACAGCTTAATATAAGCAATCTTTTTAATTCACATTTGATTGTTTATTACAGGCCTTGTTTGTATGAAGTCAAGTACTTCTGTTGTTGAACTTGTTATGCTGCTTTGTTCACAGGTAAGAATTTTTTTCTTTAATTGCATTAGTTTCATCACACTGTGACATACTTCTAAATTTTGAGAATTGATTATTGCTTATGTTTTCTTTTTTCTACTTGAATATGATACAAACACAAATGTTATTTCTCACACCTTTCTGTAAAGGGTAATTTCTTGGTAAATGCTGTTAAGCAACCTTCTTATGGACATGCAAAGTAATGTATGCAATTGCTTGTAAAAAGATATGTGCATATATATTATGCATTTTATTCTGTTATGCAGAATTTTTTGTCATAATTTCACATTAAATGTTGAGCTTCCGGAATTAGTTATGAAATGAAATGAAAACTTTATTATGTGGTGACATTAACTTTCACCTTTAGGATACATTACATAAGTTATTGCACATTTGATATAAGCTTTGTCAGTATTTTAAAAGCTGGGTAAAATAGTCAGCTGTTTGGATTTTTTTATATTTTCCATTATCCGGTATCATACATGCAAATTATTGAACATAATTGAGTTTTTCTGTGATAAATCTAAAAAGATTAAAATTTTGTTAATAAAAATCATGAACAATATTTTGAAACTGAAATATTCTGGTGCTTTTGACAAGTCACCTTTAAATTGTAATTTAATATATGTTACTAGTTGAATTTCACACATACCTGTCATCTTGTAAAATATAGTTGTACTAAAGAATCAATAAATATTATTTGGCTTTCTACCTCAAATACGTATGATCCTGAATAGATACCCAGTCCCACACAGCTTCTAATTTTTCTCCAAAGATTCATATTATTTAACAGATTCACACACATGCCTAAAAAGCACACAGAGTAGTGTGTAAAATGAGGTTCTGTGCTCTCTCTATCTATCTCTATCTATCTATATACACACAGAGCACTGTTACTAAGCATATACTTGCTCTTAGTTTATAACATAGAATCCACTGTGCACTTTGAAATATGCCCAAACAATGAGTTTCTAGTGGCAGCTTAAGTGAAGATTAGTCAAAAGTACAAAGAGCTGAGAATTAGTAATATTTACAACTGAATATAGCATCTTCTTTTTTTTCAACTTACCTGCTGTTTGCCAGTCCATAGGTTGCATTTCTTCCAGCCTTTACCCATAAGGAAATCATTAGATCCTGTTTTTCTTTTAGCCAAGATGGATATTGGTTAGGGAGAAGTTAAAGAAAAATACATCACTGGCAGGAATCCTCAGTGGGGTTTGAACTTCAAACCTTCTCCTGCAGGGCACTTGAAAAATTTGTTACCTAATGGTTAAGTCCTGGGTTCAAGGGAAATTCCAAAAGATCCATTAAGGCCTTTGAGTTTCATGTCATGCTGCTTTTTTTTAAACAGCTTTTGAAGCTTTTTACTTGAGGGAAGGAATAACTTACAATGCCTTCTCCTTGGTCTTTGGTTTTACTGCAATTCACAGGAATAAAGTGGAATGTAGCATTAGGGTCTAGTGTCTTTGATGGCCTCATCATCTAATCATAGGTTTAACATTACTCATTTGCTGGCTCCAGGAATTCCTGCCATTAAGGGCCCTAGAGATGAAACTTTGCCTCAAATATTGATTGAAAGGAAGAATGAGAAATTTAAGCTCTTTCTACAATGCTTTTTCTTTAGACATCTCAGTGAAGCTGTGTAACAAATGTAGCTAAATCAATTTGATATTTGTATGAATTTTAGAATAGTTATTTAGTGATTCAAAACATATAACAGTCCAGTTTTTAAGGAAATTATTAGATCCTATGCACAGATTTTTAAAAAGCCTTGCCTTCTATCAGAATGGCAAGTTTCCCTATGGCAAAATTACAATTGCCTTGTAATATTGCTTTCTAATGGAATGGCATGAAATGTTCCTATAGGAACTGATCATCATAGGGTTTGAATGTAGTGGGGTAACTCTCCTCCCCACTTCTTTATCATTGTAGAGTATATTACTTCTACAAAGAATCTAACGAGCATGATCCCAGGAAGTTGTATGACATCAGGTAGTAATACCAAAGCACCAGGCTTGTAGTCCCAATATTTTAAAAAATAAACTAATTTTATAGATTTACTTTTCTGTTTAATTTTGAAATTAGTTATCAGGGCATGCAAAATAAATATGAAAGAATATTAATAAGAATGGAATAGTTGAAAATACTGGCTAAGAGGAAAGAGACGTTGAGAAATTGCATGTAGGGAGATAGCGTGGTTCTCTGTGTGTACCACAGAACTGGGAGTCAGGAGATTTGGGTTCCATTCTCAATACTGCCACTGATTTATATATAAAATGAAAATAATTATACCTACCATTCCCCATAAGATGACCTGAGAAATACGGATTGAAAGCACTACATGTTTTGTGTGCTTTTTAAAAATGTGTGTCAAACTAAGGTTGTGTTTTTTTATAACCTAGGCAAATCTCTATTTAAAATGAGTGTTCAAAATGTATTACATTCTCCAGATTACTTGTAAAAAGTTTGCTATGTATATCTTTGTCTTTCAAAAGACAGATGATGATCTAGAAACCTTTGAAAAGTAAGATTTTGTTTGCATAGAACAAGGTAACTTTAGACATTGAAAAAGGAAAGGGAAAAGCAAAGTTTGTTTTCCTTTCATTTGCTACAGCAAATTAGATGCTTTTATGCTCTTTATGTTAGAAATTCCATGTTAACGACTACAGATTAGCGAGGATGTCAGAATATTTTTTCTTATCTGAGCTCCTGAATAAACTTAACATTGCCAGTGGCTCAAGTCCAAGGTATGGTCTAAATTTACATGAAATATCACATTACAGATGTCTGAAGGTACATGTCATGGATAATTCATTTCATATGGGCAGCCTTTTAGACTCTGAAGGATATGCAATCAAGTCCGTTCCCCCCAAAGGAATTTTGAGTCTCTGTGAAAATACATTTTAAACTTTAAGGAACTTCTATAGGTATAGTGCATCATTTGGTTTTAAGAATTGATTTCTCTGTATTTTCAGTGTGTATGTCTCTATTTTTCCTCATAGTTAGCTGTAATAATACTCAGTTCATTAAACTAAAATAATTTTAGACGTCTCTTCTTTTTATATTTTCATAGAACAAAAATGGTTCTTCAAGTACTTAAAATATTTTTTTCTGGAAAATTGATATGTAATGACTTGCATGTTGAATAAAACAGGCTTCTTCATGCTGGGTGCAGTATATTTTCCCATAAAAATGATGAAGATGTGTTATATTTGACAAGATCTGTGCTTGATTATAGTCTTTGTTCCCCATAGCCTAGTTCTATGTGTCACAGCTGTGATGCTGCCTTGAGTGGCAGATTTCTCAAACCATGCATTTTTTTTAAAAAGTGCTTCACGTTAGTTTTTTTATTGTATTTTCTTCTTTGATATGTAGCAGATTTAGATTTTAATAATTTTTCAATCTTTTTTTAAATGCTACAATAGCTTCTAATTATTTCCAGATTTCTTTTAAAGTTTTCCCTCTTCAGAGGTACAGCTTCTGAAGAAATTGAGTGATTTTATCCCATAGGATTCTTCAAGTTTTTATAATAAAGCCTTATGAGATATCTATTACATTTTTCTGTACCTTATCTGTCAACAAGAGAGCTTTATTTTCTTAAATACTAAAGACATTCTTTTCTATTTAAAATACATTACTTGTTCACCTGTTTGAAACTATAAATTACAATACAAAATTGCTATTTTTTTACAATAAATCAGTGTAACAAATTGAATTCTAAATAACTAACAGACTTCAGTATTTGACAGTTTTGAAGTTGTTTCATTTATTCTCCTGATTAACTAAAAGGGATGTTTCCCACTGTGCTTTATGTTTAATCAAAATGATAACCCAAGGGTCTGCAAAGGAAGCATTTTAGGAGGGACTAGAGAGTTGCAAGGAAAAGATCTGTTCCTGATTCCCTTCCTTAAGGAAAGATTTGGATTTTAGACATTACACATTGCATACAAGATCTCCCAAGGGATACCATTTGGGGAATTGAGGGGACTTTCACACATAATGAGCAAAAATGATTTACTTTTCATTAACAAATGAAACTTCTTATGAGATTTGCACAGAGATGAAGATTTTTTCAATATTTCAGTCTTGCAATTCAGATGTAAATAGGTTTTGAATATAGTTTCTTTGAGAAGTTGTGGTACTGAATGGTTTACATAAATGAAATTGTCAGATAATGTTGATAGCCTTAAAGAATTATAGCATTAGTAAACAAATTGTCATAGATTTGAGTGAATGCACAGTAAAGCAGATCTGAGCTTTGAAGTTGATTATTGTATAAAAATCAAGATAATATTGGGCAATGTATGGAAAGTGTATTGAGGAATGTATAGTTCCTCTCTGTATTAAGAATGATTAAGGGCTTTGGCTATTCACAAAAGTTGAATTGGTTTTATTTAGGTATCAGTTAAATTAATTTTGTTAAATGGTATGAATCCTTGTGTGGGTACTCTTATTTCAGTTTGAGAGTGGTTTATTTTGGTTTAGTTTAAGTCAATTAGGAACAGATTTAGAATAAATCTAGGTAAGCCACTCTTAAAGCAAAATTACAGTGCCCACACAGGTGTTTGCATTCTATGTCAATTTAAAAACAGATTTAAATTGGTGCAACTTTCTCTGAGACAAACCCTAATAAGAGTAAAAGATGTAAAACTCCAGACCTTAAACATTTAAGCACGTGATTAATTACAACACATGACAATTCTGCAAACATTTAGACATGTGCTTCACTTTAAATGCGAGTAATCCCATTGACTTCAAATCAAGCACATGCTTAAGTGTTTGCAGGATTAGATTTAAATGTGTATAATTTGACCATAACATGAAAATCATTTACAAATATTTGAAGCATGTAAACATCAAGGAAGGGAAAGCAATTTGTTTGGCATTCTACAAGGAGAAATAATTGAGGTTAATGATTTGTAATTAACAATCTAGTAATTTAGGCTGCTGTATATCAGGTCAATTCTCCTTATAGTAAGATTTGTTAAATTGTAGTATTCTTCAAAAATAATCAGCCAATTTTTATTATTTATGTGTTTATTCTATGATCTGTACAAAGCTGTGCTGGCCGTTTTCTCTTTTTGCTCTTTGAGGCGTTTTAAATATTCAGTTGAACACGTAGAATATGCCAGGCAGTTACAGACCTAATTTTCAATATGGCTCTTGATCAGTGATGGAATCTTTGTTGTTTCCAAAGAGCAAGATATAGCTGCGCATCATGAATTATTTGGTAATCTTCAGTTACCATAAACAATCTGAATGATTACCACACAACCCTTCCAATCATAGCCAGACCTGATGTAGGACTTGGTTTTCCAAGGGGTACCTTAGGAATGGTTCCCACATTACAAAGCCTTTTTACCTAATGAACTGTAACACCAAGGAAGAAGAGTGCAAAATTGAAACTCAGTTTTTTTCCCCATGGGGTAACAAGATCCTGGAAGGGGTGTGTTAGAGGGGACAATCACTACAGTGAACCAGAACTGGCAGGGACTGAAGCTGGAACCCACTCTGCAATATTAAGCTTGGCGTGAATAAAATAGTGAAGGACTCACCCCCAAAGCCAGACTACTTTAGCAGAGAGCTATGGGTCTAAAAATGTTTGACATAGGAGCTCATTTTGTTTATTTTAAATGGAAGTGTTAGCCTTCACCTGAACCTGGCCCTTACTACTGCAAATGATACGTGGCAGAGAGATTACACTTGGAGTGGAGTGTGGAAGATAACCAATGTAGGAAGTCTTTGAGACAATTTCTCTCACCTACATGCCCTGAGAGGGCGTGGCTCAAATCCTGTGAAGTTCCCCATGGGAAAAATGCTGGACTCTTCTCATTTAAGTCGGGTAGTTAGCAGGTTTACAGGAGCAGAGGGGAGATAGATGGTAGTATTCAGTCTTCAGGTTCTGGATCAGCCCTAGAGTGGATGACAGTCTGTAAAGCAAGAGGCTGGTTTATGAAACCAGAAAGACTTGGAGGAAAAGAGAAGTGGAAGAACCTTTTTTGGGACCTCATTTGAAAGTAAGTAGAAGGAAAGGAGTGTATGGGCCAGATTCAAATAATGTGTAGGTCATGGATTTAAAATAAATACACGAACCACTGTTGAAAACTTGTCCACTCTCAGGAATCTCAACATGTATATCTCTTGGTCACTTTTAGAGGTGTTTATTTCCTACTTGCCAAAGCTCTGGAATCCTTGGGGATAGGAACCCTGTATACTTTTTATTTGAAAAAGCACTATGAAGACCTATTTGCATAGGACACTGAAGTTCACAAAACCCGAACAGTGTTGTGGGGAGGGGATGGTTGACTCCAAAATCACAGTAACTGTCTGGCTTACTGAGGCCCAGAATGGTTGTTTACAAAATAGTTCCTACCTGTTTAAACCTCTGTCATGAATCCAGTTAAAATCCAAGTAGGAAGAGGCTTTTCTTAACCTAACCGCTGCAGTTCAGCAAAGGCCTCACTAACAGGTGCTGCCTGGCTACACCGGAACCAGGTTGCTACAAGATCAAAGTCAGCTCCACCCACTTCAGC